TCCTTCCCAGGTTGGGATTTGTCTGGGACGAAGTTCGTAAGGTCCCAGTTGTCCACCCCTGGAGCCTGTTCAGATCCATCTGAATGGCGACCTTGCCCCTGAGCAGACCAACTGCTGGTTTCAGAAGAGACTGAGCTGCGAAGTAAAATCAATAGAATAGAAAATTAGCTTTACTTAGCTCAAACCAGGACAACATACATATAAAATAAGGCTCAGAAACTCCAGGTGATTCAGTTCCTCCTGATGACTGAGATTTGTGCACTGAAGTGTTGGTGGAGGGAGGAAGAGGAGGAGCAGGAGCCGTTGGTTTTGGGGTTACACTCCCTGCCCTCACCACCAGTTCCCAGGCTGCAATGAAAACATTTGGAACTTCACTGCCCCACTCTTTGATCCTGATAGGAATTCCAGTAACCCCAGCAGAGCCCTGTCAGCACTTACCAAGCTGTGTAAGGGCAGAGCCTGTGTCCTTATTCACCCCTCATCAAGATGCTCCCGAGCAATGATGCTTCTAATGCCAGTGCTTAAATGTAAGCGTGGTAAGGACCCCTACTGACATCAGTGGAACATTAAGCACAGACAAATCTTTTCTGTAATAGTTTTCTTGATGTAATTCCTAATCCCTGCTGTCTACACACTTTTTCTGTAACTATTAAGAGCAATTTTTCACGCTGGCAAATGCCCTGTAACATTCCAGCAGTGGTTATTTTGGAAGCCAGCGTCACAGAACAGCCGCTCCTCCTCGGGAGCCCCTTTTTCACGTCATAAAGAAGCCATTGCAGACAGAAGTCTCATTTCTCGAAGGTTTTAATTAAATACAAACTCAAGCAATTACATGTTGCAAAGTCAACAACCAACACTGCAAAGCCACAAGTGCCCTGAGCCCAAAGCTACAACTCCAGGTCCCTCCAGACAGCGCTAAGCGTTACCATTCAGTTTAGCTCTGAACTCCAAAATCTCATCCAAACCCATGTATATCGTAGGAGGCTGAATATTTCAATCTCATTATACAGTTCGTCTGAGCTCCTGTTACACTGTAATCCCCAGATGCTCAGGCATTTTTGTATGTGAGTGACTCTGCAAAGTTAACACATGAAACCAACAGCTTGGATCAAGTTACTGAGTTGCCACTTAGAGAGAATACCCAGTTTTGATTCAATTATGGAGCATGTGGGAACAGAGTGATTAAAAACTCGGGTAATTTATGTCATTAATGAGTTAGTGTCAATCAGCCTCATAGAAATTAGGTCAGAAATCGCGGATATCATTTGAAATTAAGTTATCTGACAGGTAGGCACAGGTCTGTCCCAGTTCTAATGAGTTTTCTCTTTTCATTTAGGAAGTAAATGAGATTTACATTTGGATTGTCCATTTTGACACGTTATTGCAGCCAGGAATCAAAGGGAGAAAAAAACAAAGCAAAATGAAACACAGCTTTGAGGCTTTGGTTCCTGTCCCAGCCTACACAGGGAACACCTCGAGCCTCATGGCCTGCTTCATTTGTTGTTTCTGTGTTTCACAGCAGCCTTTTAAATGCATAAATGCATCTTCTCAAAGGCCCTGAATGGGTACGGGAGGGAAAAGCCGCTGCTGTGGTTGCATCCTGAGCCAGTTGTGACTTGATGGAGTCATTTTGAGTGGAGTGACCACGGTCTGGGACTGTCATCTCCTTTGCTCAGGGATGCAGCACTGGTTTCTGCCTTCCTTCAGCTGCAGGAACTGCAATGGGTGCATCCATCACCTGGCCTGATCCTCTTCCAGGCTGCTGCTTTGTAACTTCAGTTTCTTCTTCTGTGACGAGAAACATCACCAACTTCTTTGCCATCCACCCAAGGGTGCTAAGAGAGCTGGCTCCTCCAGGAGCCTTACTAAAGTCCAGGTAGACAATGTCCACAGCCTTTCCCCCATCCACTGAGCGGTCACCTCGTCATAAAAGGAGACCAGGTTGGTCAAGCAGGACCTGCCCTCCCTGAACCCATGCTGACTGGGCCTGATGGCTTGGTTGTCCTGCATATGCCATGTGATGCACTCAGGATGATTTGTTCCATCACCTTCCCTGGCACCGAGGTCACACTGACAGCTCTGGAGTTCCCCGGGTCCTCCTTCAGGCCCTTCTTGTAGATGGGCGTCACGTTTGGGAGCCCCCAGTCAACTGGGACCTCCCCAGTCAGCCAGGACTGCTGATACGAGCAATGAATAAACAAATATAAACATCAAATAACCCCAGCATGAGGATTCAAGCAGGACTGACTCTACAGTGCCATCCTTTCACACTCTCTAAGCTGGCAAAAATTGCCACTCCTTCTGCAAAAAGATGCCGTTCTTTCCTCTGCACACAAAGATTGTATCTCATGCAGTCACAGTGATTTTGACCTCAAATAGTTCCTGGGCTCTTACTGACCAACACCAACACCTACTGAGCCATGGAGCCAGAAAAAAAGCCAGAAAGGGGAAGAAAAGAAAGAAAAAGAAAGAAAGGGTAAGAGCACGACCAATGCTTTCAACCACAACATAGCTGAAAAGTGATTAGAAAATCACAGTAATCTTGCAATATCTAGAGTGCTCCCTTAGATACATAAAACCAAAGTGGGGAATGCCATGAGAGATGAGTGTCTGGTGATAAAGTGTCTTGGAGACTGCGTTGTTACACTTTGTGCTGGGGGGATGCTGAGGATGCAGCCCCCTCTGACACGGTGTAACTGGACAGTGAATCCTCACAGCAATGACTGAGTTCACCAATTTTTCATTTCCTACTGGAACCCTTGAAATAATAATTCCTTATTCGTGACTTGGTACAGAAAAGGTAAGAGGAGTTGTTGTTTCTGTATTCTGGTTTAAATATTTATGTGAAAGATGACAGACTGTAACTGAATTTGTAACTCTGATCATATGTAGAAGCCATTATTTGCACCTTTTAAGCATCAAGAATAATTTTTCTTGGCAGGAAAACTACGTAGCAAACAGCCATGACATTTAGGAACACACTTCCTTTCGTTTCTGTGTTCTGTCACAGCCTCCAGATTATGGGAGTAAAATGAAGAAACGAGAGCTGGATGGAGCTTGGTGTTTATTTTTTATAACTACATATGGAGCAAAATGGAAAATACATTGCTAAATAAATACAGATCTGTCTGGGGATATTCTTGTCACTGAACATCGCCTCTGAATACATCTAAATAACTTCTGTGGAAGGGACGCAGCAGTCGGTGAGAAAACTCGTATCGCCTTAACCCTCACCCTGACAAAGTTTGGCCTCATCTTCAGCTTGAACCTCCTGTGCTCCAGCTTGGGACCATTGCCCCTTGTCCTGGCATTGGCCATCCCAGAGCAGAGCCTGGCTCCTTCCTCCTGACACTGCCCTTTCCCAATGGATCCCCAGGAATGAGGGCACCCCTCAGTCTCCTCTGCTCCAAGCTCAAGAGCCCCAGCTCCCTCAGCCGCTCCTCAGCAGGAGATGCTCCACTCCCCCAGTATTCCTTACAATTTTTCTCCTTAAGCCTTTTATCCCCATCTCCCTATTTTTCACATCAGTGTTAAATTTACTGTGATGTTTTTAAAAATACAGCGTCAAACGGAATCAAAACTCAGCTGCCTGCAAGCAGAGAGGACGTACTGAGAATCTGCCATCAACTGCTGCAGCACTGGATGTTTCAGGCTCCGATTTGCAAAACCTTCTGTACCTTTTTGTGCGTGCATTTATCACACTGACAGAGGAACACTAATCCAGCCTCATCTAACTCTGGGAATAATTCACTGAATCAAGGACAGTGGGGAAAATAAGAGAAAAACAAAAAGTCACTGAAAGACAACGCACATTCCAAGAAGAACTGCAAATATTTATGATTCAGATAAACAAATGCTGATGGTAAAGAAAGAACCGACAACAGTTTCTCATGCTGGCAATATATATTTATTGTCATTTTGGATATAGGTTACCATGTGTATATCAGGATTTCAGACTGAAAACAGATCGGGATTATGGACTCAGTATAGGCAAGTTGGAAATCAAAGGACTGAATGCAAAGCTGACCTTTACAAGATCTTCAGTCGCTCTATTTTTGTGTCACCCCCCTCTTTTTTAAAATTAAAAGCTGAACATCTTCCCCTCCCCCTTCATTTCAATCTCAGAAAAATCAATGATCACCCAAATGCAACTTTTCCTGGTTCCTGATGCTCTGCTGACGACCTCAGAACATTGACACTGTTCTGCAGCGTCAGAAGGAAGCGAACCTTTACACACCATCTCCTTTCTCCACTTTACCTGGCTGCTGTGTTCACCTTTAAGGATTAGACTTAAGCAGATTAAAGATCTGCTCATCCCAGACTATTGTGTTCACGTCACTGCAGTGCAACCCTTCAACACAGGCACTTTTGCTGCTCCAGAACAAGCTGCACCAGTGCAAGATCTGATGGTCTGTGCAAAAGAAGCCATAGTGCTACCAATCCTTGCAATACCTTCCCTCTCCATCCTGTATCAGCTAACAAACATCTTCCACTAATTTCACCAATCCTCCAAAAAAGAGAAAGATGAAGATATTTCATGCTTTTATACAGAAAACAAACACAGCAAAACCCCCCCTAAATAAAAAATCCTCCAACTCCAATCCAGCCACCCAAAAAAAAAAACCCAGGTCAAATGGATTTGTTCCCCACCCTCCTAACCCTCTTTCTAGCTTTTATATATCACCATTAAAGCAAACACATACAACTGACTGTACAAATAGGAAGCTGCAGGCATTCGAGTTACAGAACATCCTGAAAATATTTCAAGCATAAAAAGTCCACTTGATAATTGCAAAAATAAAGTTTCATTTTTTTTTAAAAAACATTTTGATCAGAGCTGAAGCAAAACAAACATTGGACGTTTCCTACTTCAGTTTAACTTCATAAGAACACCACCTTCAGAGGTTAAAAACCAAAGACATCTCTGATTTTTGGTGGTCAAATAACCACGTCTTTTAATGAAGAGAAATGGTATCTACAATAACGGTACAGACCTTAAGCATCAACGACGTATTTCAGCCAAAAGGAAGTCTACAGGTGATCCGAGTCGTCCTTAGCATCAAATGGTACTGACTGCTAAGAACCATGATCCACTGGGAACAGACGTTAAATCAGACTGGGATGGATGGAGGGACAGATCCAGGACATCCAATGGGCTCAGGTTTTGTCACTGAACTTTTTCTAGGCTAACAATTTCACTAGTGCAAGACCATATGTTTACCTGATTAAATTAAAACTCCATGTCACGATTTAAGAACACCCATACAAAACTATTTGGTTTTTTTTTCTCTTAAAAAAGTGCCACATACCGTACTTTTACCAAAAAAAGTTACAAACTAATGGAAGACTGTCTGCCTCCATCTCTTGTCAACAAGGAAAGGCCAAAGCGATTCTTTGATCCCAGCCCGAAACGGCGTTCGCTGACCTATCCCCAGCATCTCCAGCTTGGAGCAGTCCAGCTGAGCGTTCCTCGGACGAAGGGCACCCACGACTGGACAATCAGTGATCTGAAAAATCAACAGGAAAAATCCCCAGCACGCCAACAAGTGATCAGAAATGACAGAAAAAGACTTCTCATATATGCTTGTTCAGAAGTTTTGCTCCATAGCGTCCTGTACAGGCACGTTCTCCTCCTCCCTTGTATTCTGTGGGGTTTTTTTGTGTGTCTGTCTGCTTGCTTTATGGACAAATTCATTTCAACGTAAGAGATGCCGGGCAGAGGGACGTCAAGTGCCATAACTTAGATTTTTCTCACTCAATTACTGCTCATCATTTATGCTTTTCTACATGTTATTGCTATTTTCACCCTATGACTCTAATCACAAGGTAAAAAGTGCTCCTAAAAGCTGACAGAACCACGTCTTGGTCAATGCTCCTGGAGAGAAATAAGTTTGGGCAGAAAAAACTCAGACTAACTTAGTATTCTCCATTCTTTTCCTCTCCATTTTCCAAGCCACATTTCAGTTCCAGACTTTATTAATTCCTAATCCTTGGAATTTATTTTGTATATAAATAAAATCTTATTTACACGTTATATGCTCACAACATTATCGGTATGTGTTCAAGAATGGTCTTACTTACAAGTGTCAATAATTGAGGACAGGTGTTTTAAGCAAAGCAAAGATGATCTGACTGTAAGTGTATGTATTCAGAAATAAGTCTGGACACTGGAAAAGATCTTACACACTCCTACTTTCAAGTTAACGTTCTGTCAATCTGTACGCTTTTTTTAGGACAGAAATACAATAAAAAATATGGATTTACTTCTGACTAAGGGGAACTGTCGTCAGAAGCTGGAACAGGCTGCCCAGGGAGGTGGTGGAGTCACCATCCCTGGATGTGTTTAAAGAGCGGGTAGACGAGGTACTTAGGGATATGGTTTAGGGGGTAGACAGGAACGGTTGGACATGGTGATCTCAGAGGGCTTTTCCAACCGAGCGATTCTGTGATTCTGTGATTGTGTGTGTGTGAACTGCTCTGCAGAAACACCATTACACTCCAGACTGCAAACCTGGTACTGACTGGGTGATTTCCATCGTTCAGCAGGTCAAAGCAGCTGCTCTCTCCCTGAGTTCGATACCAGGCAGCACCCTCAGCAATACCTCTGCTGTGCTGGACATACACAGACTGTCCTGAAGAGGAAGCTTACTCACATAGCTAGCGTGAGACCTACTACTTGAACCAATAAAGCACATCCATCTTTCTACCAGTGCAACAACACATCACTTACTGGTCTCAAGTGGCTGCTGGGAAGGTTGAAAGCGTCTGCAATCGCACACGCCATTTCGTACTTCGTCATCTGTTCATTGCCAGACCAGTGAAATGTTCCTTTTACTGATGGGTCCTACAGAAGAAACAGGGAGCAGAGGTGAAAAAATAGCAGCTAGTTCATGCTCAGACCAATCCCTGTGCAGAGGAATCAAGACCCTGTCCTGAAAGGCTTCTTACAGCTCCACACTGATGATCTGGAAAGGTCTCCTGTTTTCAGAGAACACCTGACTAGGGACTGAAAACTGGTGTTAAGTGTATCTGCCCTGCCTTTTCACACACAGCTTCTATTCCGTACAGTTAACACCAGGGAAAGGAGTGAGCCATAGAGTGAACCAAGGCCAAACAGCTGGGGAGGAAGTCAGCCATTCTGAACTGTTCACTTACTCAAAAACAAAAGCGAAAGGCACCACACACACTTTGGTTTTGTTGTCTTGCAAAGGTAGCAGTCTGAAGATGTTGTGGTGAATAACAACAATTAAGTATTGCAGTCTAGTGCCATGCTTTTGCCTTTCAGCGTTCTTAACACAACAACCAAGGGCACATTTGAGAATTACACTCAACCACTATGGGGTTTTTTTAGTCCAAAATGGCCATTTGTAAGAGGCATGTTAGAATCAGCTAGGAAGCCAGTCTTCTCTAGAGACATTCAAAACCCGCCTGGACGCCTTCCTGTGTAACCTCATCTGGGTGTTCCTGCTCCGGCAGGGGGATTGGACTGGATGAGCTTTGGAGATCCCTTCACAATCCCTCACGTTCTGTGATTCTGTGATTCTGTGTGAATTTGTGTACTAGAAGACACGTGACAACGTTCAAAAGGATCCGTCCCACCACTTCACTCGCTTCTGTGTCAAAGATCAGAACATGCAGACTCCAGCATGTCAAGTTACTGTGTCACAGCCAGCTCTTTCCTCCCTCCCAGTGCTCCACAAATACAAAGAGCGATGCAGTCCGTACGCAGTTCTCAGTTGTTCACAAACACAGCCAAGAACTCGCTGTTTTCACCTCGAAAAGCTTTGTTTCTCTCAGTTCTTACCAGCATTCTCTTCTCTGCTAGTTGTCTGCAGACACCTGCTACATCCTTGACGTTCGTAGGAAATCTCTGTTGCCAGTGGTCCATGTTGGCAGATTTGTTACTGAACTGCACCTTATCAAACATAACTGTGACAGCGCTTTCCTCCAGCCTCTCTACCTCTCCGTACAAGACCGGAATCCGAAGTACTGCAGCACCTAAAACAAAGAACACTTTATAAGCATTAACACTGCTATGAAGGGGTATGAATGCTGCAGCAAAACCTGAAAAGTGGCGATATTAAGCATCTACAACTCACAAAGAAAATCCAATTAATGTAATTAAACATATTTAATTAATATGTTTTATGTTTTAATATTTACTAGAAAAGAAACATAAAGAGAATACAGTAGTAAACTGTATTAGATGTCAAGATAGTGCTGTGAGAAATTAACAGTAAACAAGTGCAAGAGAAGGATATTTGATGATGAAATACATCATAGCAGCGTGTCTCAGTCAAAAGGCCTCTTTGAGGAGAGATCCAGAGAGGCCACAACAAATTCATTAAAAGCAATACAGATATTTTTGCTTAAAGAAATAGAAATTAAATCCATCCTGAAATTACAGGTGGAAGTTACCAAATCATTGCAATTCTTAAAGATCTGTGGGAAAATGCAGTGGCCCTTAAGAAGACAAGAAGAAAAAGCTAACACAACAATTATTCTCACAAAAGTAAACCAACAGAAAATCAAATACAATTAAAAACCCAACATTACACTGATTTCCTGTTGCTCTAAAAACAGCTCCTTGGTCACTCAGCAATTATATTCTTCCTCTCTTTAAATATTGGCTGAAATCTCTCTTTTCTAATGTCTTCAGAAGCATTCCTCATTTGAGGAAAAGGCTGCCTTCCTTGTCTCTCAGAGCATTTCCTCCATTAGCAATGGCTGTGAAGCTACTGGAACGTCTTAGTTTTACAAGCACAGGTACTAAAATAACTTCTGTCCTCCCTCCTATTGTTCAAAAATACACAAACACAGCAAATTATTAATGGAAACGTTTGCATTATACAACTGAAAAGTTCTTAATGCAAATAGAGGCATTGGGCAGGCTGAATTTTACCTATAGGATATTGGCAAATTAGTGGTTGGAAGAATAATAGATGATAAAATATTTCTATTTGTGTGAAACACCAGCATCGACATTTTCAAGCATGTTACTCATCGCCATCTCGAAATTCCTCTGCTAATAATACCATTGCTGCAACCCACTGCTGCCTGACACACCACGCTCAGAAGGGTTACGGAACAGAACTGTAGAGCTGAGCTGGGGAAGGATCTAGCAAGATACCCACATGAACTGGAACATGGTGCAGCCTTATCTTCATTACCCATCCAGAAGAGGGAGCAAACAGCATCACAGTCAAATTTAGAGATGATATTCAATAAGAGGTGGAGTGAATAGCTCTTTCTTTAAATTGATTTTTACTTAAATATGACGTTTCCTATCAAAGAATTTTTAGAAAGTCTGTTTCTTACTAGCAATGACTACCCTATATTAAGGTCTATCATTTTCAAATGTATTATATATTTACTTACTAAAGATGATCACAAAATCACAGATAAGGGGTTGTCAGGGCCCTCTGGAGCTCCCCCAGTGCAACCCCCCCAGAGCAGGATCACCAGAGCAGTCACACAGGAACACGGCCAGGGCTTTGGGTGTCTCCACACAAGGAGACTCCACAACCTCTCTGGGCAGCCTGGGCCATGCTCCATAACCCTCACAGTAAAGAAGTTTCTCCTCAATCATACTAACCTCAAACAATTTTAATTTTAATTTATCAATTGTTCAATGCTCTGTTTAGGCAGAACAGAATCACGTGCAAGTATCAAACTGACACACCAGAAGCCTCTTCCTCAAGCACACCGAGATTACTTGCTTCAAATTCTGAGAAAACAGAAGTGCTCCTTTCCTTATAATCTGTGAACGGACACTGACAGCATCCTAGAAACAACCAGACCTCTGATTAATACAGTTTTAAATGAAAGGAGACCTGTTCAGTCCCAGGCTTTTTTCCCTTATTAGGTATAATGGTTTAGATTTTGTTTGTATAATTTCGTGCCATTACAACGCACTGATGATGTATTTTATCTTTCCTGAGGAAGAGATGACTCAGAGTAGACAAAGGCTTGTGAGTGTCCATCAGCACAGACTACTAACATGAATGAAGATCAGAAGAACTGCGAAATAAAGCTTTAGTCACCCTATAAGCAGTAGGAATCATTTTTAAGGAGACTGACTCCTAATCGTCTTCTTTCCTAAATCTCGTTTCCATGGTTTTGTAACTTTACCACTGAAAAGACCTATGAGTCTGTTAAGCTAAAACACAGCTCAGTAAAAACAGAAAGCCTCTATTAAAAACATATTCTTACCTTCATGATTTTCCAGGACTGCCTTTTCACCCTCCAGTTTGGTTTTCCCATATAAATTCAAGGGATTTGGTACGTCAGTCTCTTTATAAGGAGGGTTTGTTCCATCAAATACATAGTCTGTGCTAATGTAGATCAGAAACGCTCCAACTCCAGCTAGGAAGAAAATGTTTATACGTAAGCAATTTTAACTCACACCTCCTTTGAAATCCCGATAAACCTTTAAACAAACCTCCAAAGGACCTCATCTCCTAGCCCCATTCTTTTCCACTGCTTTCTCTGTTCACTGATCCTCCACAAACAAATGCGTGCTGCCCTTACAGAAAACACCGACTGCAGAAATTACCTTCATCACTTTGAGCGACTCACTCCTATTTATGTCTCTGTATAAACACACACAGTATTTTAAAAAGAAACCAAGCCCATTAGATGGTCTCCTTACCTGCCTCTTTTGCCAGGTTCCCTGAAGCAGCCACGTTGAGCTGAGAAGCAGCATCTGGATGACTTTCTACAACATCCGGCCTTCTCTCCGCAGCACAGTGCACTACAACATGAGGCTGGAAATTAAAGACTCATTTGAAACAACAAACATTGCCACGAGATTGCACCCCAACTCCAGGATGAACAGGCAAAAAGGCATTTCACTGTGTTGTGAGACGTAATAAAAGCAGTGGGGTTATTTTTTTATCATGGCATTGTGCGAAGCGTGGTTTCCTCACGAAGTGAAACAGAACCATGCTGCTTCGAGAGACCAAAAACCCCTGGTCATTAACCTTGCAGTTATGCTCTTCAGTAGCTTTGATTGTACAGCAAGATCAAAGCTGTTGGGTTGTTTTTTCTTTTTAACTCTGAATAATCATATAAAATATAATAATTAATAATATACGGTATCTCTCACAGACATATGATGGTACTTAAAAAAACAATAATAAAGCCACAGGAACTCAGTGTCAGAGCAGCACTATCAACTGATTACCAGGCCTATGAAGTACCCTATGCATCTACTTCATCCTCCAGACACTTACCTGAAAATCATGGATAATGTCATGAACTGCAATGGAGTCCAGAAGATTTATCTGTTCGAACCTGGGCTGAGCTCGCCTGTATCCACAGCCAACTGCATTCCAGTTGTTTTCACGGAATTCTTTAAACACAGCTCTGCCAAGAAGCCCTGTAGCACCAGTAACCAAAACTCGCCTACTGGGAATCTCGACATCTTCCTGGGGAAATCACAAGAGGAAAAGTTTTCTTTTTATTATTAATTATTACTGGTTTTTTCTGGAAAAGTATGCAAGGCTACAATCCGTGGTACTGGGTTAGACAGCTTTCCTTGCTGCGTGAGTGTTTTGGGAAGAGTCTCCCAGCATCTCACAAACACAAACACCTTGGAGCACCAACACGGTACCAAGCCCTTAAACACATTTTGGAAGATAATGACAACAAAACCCAAATGGGAAACTCATTTACTTCTACAGCAAGAGGGAAAACCAAACCAAACCAAACCACTAATAATGGCAGAATTTTAAATTCATTCAGAACCTCCTAACTTTGTGCAATGTGAAACAGGGGAAATAACTTCTTTTGGAAATGGACCCAAATATGCAACATTTAGGGTCCACATCCCACAACAAATCATTTTGGGTGGACTGTGCCTGTTAGAGGCTGCAGCAACACAACACAACTCACCACGGGCCGACGTACAGCGACTGAAAGAACTGAGTTTTATTATTAAATAGACAGTAAAGCATCGTTCTTCAACACAGCAGTCCAATAATACGTAACACCAAGCTATAGCTTTCTTCTCAGTTTTACAAAATGCATTTGAAAGTGATTTGATAATTTAAACTCTTCATCTACACAAGATACTAAATCTTTATTTCAGCTAAGGCACATTTCAGCACCCGAGACGGTTGTGTCCATCAGTTCAAATGAAGCACTCAACAAAACCTCAGGTGTGCAGAACCCGTAATTCTTGGATTCCCAGACCACTTCACACAGTTTGTGATAACTGGTTATAGTTTTTGTAAATGCTGCTATGTCATTCAAACAGCCCAGACACTTCTGAGCATCCTTCACTTTCAGCGCTGTGACCGCTGCGTTTTGACTGCTCCAAAGGAAGCAGCAGAAAATGCTGCTATGCCATTCAAACAGCCCAGGCACTTCTGAGCATCTTTCACTTTCAGCGCTGTGACCACTGCGTTTTGACTGCTCCAAAGGAAGCAGCAGAAACCGTTTCCAAATCAGTTACCTCGAAAGTTAAAGGGCTTTTGAAGAACCTTTTTCTTCCAAATACTTTATACAAAAGCTGAACTTGACAAAGTGGTAACGAACTCAAAAATACCAATTTTAAAGGAACGACCACGAAAACCGAAAGCAACCGGGATAACACAGATTCGCAACGTGAAGACAAAAACCGTCAGCGCGGGGCAGTCACCGCAGGACCGGGCTCGTCCTCCAGCCCCGGCATCGCCCATC